AATGTATCTAGGCGTTCTTCACACGATTTTAGGGAATTACGCAAATCAAACATCTCCTGTCGGAAAGATCTAAATTCTTCCCTGGTTTCTCGCAGTTCTTCTCTAAATCTACGTAGTTCGAGAGCTAGTTCCGACTCTTTGAAACCTTGCGCCACAGGGCTTTGGGGTTTCTCTTCGCCTTGCTTGATAATATACTCGGAATTAAGTCCTCGCACAGGCGTATTCTGATCTGACTTTCGGGGCGTCCGTATTTTACAGTCCGGACACAACCAAGTAGGTTGGACCTGCACACCTTCAGGAACTTTAACGCAGGCCCTGTGTGATTTTCTATCGCATTTAGGACACGTAACGCCCTCTGCCGCCGCCATAAACTTTCCGCACGCACTGCACTTCATCGCGTTAGTTTAAGTTAATTGCAATGTAATGATGCAGATAATTATCACTAGGTGTCGCCGACTATATATTGTAATTGACACTTTGTAGTTCGAGGGTAAATAGACGATGTACATTAAAGTTATTAATAAAGGTACCTCTTATATTTCACTTTTAGATGTTTTATTTCAATTTTCTTTCACCACAATCCTTAAGCACACACAAATAATTAATTTATTAACATATGCACCAGTTTTTAAAGTCCAGAAAAAAATGTTTCAAAACATCGATATCACAACTTTAGACGTAGATATTAATTTTTATTTCGCGACAAGCTTAGCTTACTTCTAGTAGCACTGACATCCGCAACGTCACTCACAAAAGTGGCAAAAATAATATACGTGCCTACTCGAATGCAACGTTGTGTCAAAATTTAAAAAAGAATTGTTAAAGAACTTTCGAGGATTTAAGATTTTAAACAAACGTATATTACAATTTTTATTCATAATATACTGTAAGTGTAGTACAGTATGATATTAAGGAGCCGTGATAACTCAGAAGCTAAGCGCTCGCTGTTAATTTCACAGTACGCGAGCAACCCGGGTTTGATGCCCACCGGTTTCGATGAAATTGTAAATTGCAATTTTTACTTCTGAATTATAATGTTCTCCAGACTGATTTTAGTCACGGCGGTCGGTCTCAACGGAGACTGTCCATCCGCGCAGGGCCGGATTATAGTACCTGAGTGTATGCACAAGCACAGGAGCACTCTCAATTCCCTCACACTCATAATTCGATGGGCCGGCGAAACGACCGGAGAGATCAGGCGCAGGACCAACGCCTTTACGTGTTTCCCGAGGCACGGGGTAAAACACCACTAAATTCATGACTTAGCTACTAAGAATTTCTACAGAAAAACCAATAACTGTTTTTGTCCCGACCCAGGCTTCGAACCCGGGACCACATGATCAGCAGTAGCGTTTACGATCATTAGGCAGTCAAAGTCTCTGAATAACCAGGGAAAGCATCGTGATGTATGCCAGAGAAATTAAAAAAATATATATTTCGATAGTATGTGAAGTCCGCCAACACGCTTTGGGGCAGTGTGGCAGACATTTCCATGCACTAATGTACTCCCAGCAATGAGACTAGTCCTGGGACCAGTAGTGGGATGCGCATGAAGGCATTTACTTGTAATATGTTATAAATGTTACTGATATATCTTTTTTTTAGAATAAGGGTAACGAACCAGCGCGCAGTTCAGCTGGTGGAAGTGGTTGCTGTAGCCCATAGACATCTACGTTTATCCCAAATGAAGAATCAAAATGCAGATGCGTTGTCGCCCCTGAAGACTAAGGTAGAATGCGTTGTTTCCAGTTATAAGAGTCTCTTTAGCCTCACCATACAAAACACAGCAGCATTGAGTTGCTATTTTACTTTAGCATTCTGTGGAAGTTTTGTCCTGTTTTACGTAAAACCCAGACTGTCTACGGACAAAGCCGTCAAACTGTGATCACTCTGTCTACCAAACGTGACAATCAAAACAAATCCTCACAGGGGGAGAAGTCCATGTCCAGCAATAGACATATACAGACCCCTGATGAAGAAGAAGAAATATATTTTACTGAGATTATGATAGATGAAATGACGACCTGGTAAGACATGCAGGAAGTCGATGCATGCAGGTGGCTTAGGACCGTGCTTTGTGACATTCCTTGGGGGAGGCCTATGTTCAGCAGTGGACTTGTGATAATGATGATGATGATGATAAGCTTATCAATGGAGTCAAGTTATTATACTCGTACAATGTCAGAGATTTTTCGTTGAAGACGAAAGGTATTTTCCGAACCAATTGTAGAAGTAAAATTGATTTTCAATATGCATTAATTATAATTTATCATTATCGTCATCATTATTACAACCTTTCACAAGTTCACTGCTGAACACAGTCCCAAGGAATGCCATAAAGTACGGTTCTGAGCCATCAGCTATATCGAATACATTAATTTATGTTAAAGAAAAATTTATCTATTCAATTATTTCATATATAATTGAATAGATTCAATCAGATTGAATTTCGGTTCAATTTGATATTGTCATTGTTTCTGTCTTTAACATACGCTGGCCCTTTTCTCTAAATATAATTCGCGAAATGCTAAAATAGTCATTTATACAAACATAAAGGGTCCCTTCTTTGTATTTTAATAAATTACTATTCTCGGGACAGAAGGGTAAATTCTGTACTACTGTGGTTTGTGGCTACTGAAATGACATTGTGAAAACAAATCGGACAACTAACTTTGCAGCCTGTCCGCGAAACTAGCTGTTAGAGATTTAATTTCTAAAATAGATAATTAAGCTATTTGAGAGATAATCTATCAACCAATGTTTTCATCTATGTCATTGGACACTATTTTTACACTTTCATACCTTAGTATATAAGTAATATATATGTAGTATTTCTTAAGTAATGTACATTGTTGATCTGTTGTTTTTTCTTAAGAGGTAAGTATGACAAACGAGCACACAGTTCACATGATTATTATCGGTGGATTTCCAGTAAAGAAACGTCTTCGGTTCTCTACACTCGTCATACGATACACAACAACATTAAGCTATTATTTTACATTTATATTCTGTAAAAGCGTAGTCCTTTACCGTTCGAGCCAACCCATTCGTGCTACAACCGTAATATAGCTGCAGCATGGCTCTACCATGTACAAAAATGGTGTTTAAAAATTCGTGTGACTGCCAGAGAAAAGAAGATAAATAATTTACATTTATACTAAGAGTTGAATAAAAATCTATACATTCTATTTTGTGCAAGTATAAAATCACCTTAAATGTTTGTTTTTCAATGTTCGTTCGCATTAACGGCGCCGAGTGGCTATCTGTCATTTTGAGTGTGACGTTTAAAAATGCGTTCGGAAACGCGTTGTTTGATTACAGTGATTAAAAGCACAATTTTTCTTTACGGGGTTAATGTTAAAATGGTGATTATAATATTTACAAAATATTTTGTTTTGTTTTGGTAATAACAAGTCGGATCCAAAATGAAATTTAAAACCTAATTCTTTTAAATGATTGTAAATGGAAGGGATATTGAAAACATTAAGCTTGTTCTTCTATCTTATTTCCTGCCTTTAATCATCATCATCATTACAGCCCTTTACAAGTCCACTGCTGAACATAGGCTTCACCCAAGGAATGCCACAAAGCACGGTCCTGAGCCACCTGCATGTCTTACCAGGTCGTCACTCTATAGCTTGCTGAGCGACCTTAAGCTTCCTAATCCGGCCAGCAGTGAAGAACCACATCTGAGTTCCATAGGTCATCACTGGCAACACGAACTGGTTATAGGGTCTCGTTTTCAAGTTTTGAGGTACACCTGACGAGATGATGTGCCGTAATTTCCCGAACGCTGCCCAGCCGAGTTGAATCCATCGATTGACCTCTCGGTCGAAGTTGGACTTACCTAGTCGGACTATTTGTCCCAGGTAAACATACTCGCCAACGAATTCGAGCTTAGTGCTCCCAATAACTATCGGCATAGGTGTGACATGGAGGTTATACATGATCTTAGTTTTGTTCATGTTTATCTTAAGACCTATCCGTTGGGAGGCACTATTGAGGTCATTGAGCATAGTGTTTAGGTCCTCCAGCGATTCTGCAATAAGGACTATATTGTCAGCAAATCAAAGTAAGTGATGTACTCGCTGTGAATGAATGAATTGTGAAAAATAGTGTAAATAAATAGTGAAATTTATTTATTTTGCAAATATGGGTGATACAGAATGTGGTGACAAATATATAGTATAGATTCCACCATATTTTACCAGAAGGCATGCAAAAATATTTTTTTTTCACAACACAATATAACATTAGATTAACAAAATTAAAAAGTCTCTTCAAATTATATGTAAGTCTAGTCAATCGGTACATTATTATCACTATTATTTAATCATTATAAGCCATCGTTGATGTTAATAACGTATCCTTTCCAGTGCAGAAGCATAAAAACGTTTTCCAACGCATAGGTGATGAGTTTCGGGGATATAACGTCACCCTGTCTTACACCTCTCTGCAGTTGGATAGGTTTCGTACTCTGGTTCTATCCTCGGATAGCCATCGTAGCCCTACTGAACAAACACTTCAGCACTTCGATATACCGACAGTCAACTTGGCACCGCTGAAGGGACTGCAGCACCGCAAAAATTTCGAGGGAATCAAAGACTTTCTCATAGTCCACATACGCCAGACATTATATTATGTTTGTAGTACAAATTCTTCGGTTCGACTGGGGCAGGACCACGCTCTTACAGAATACCTACGTAAAATAGCAGCATAACGCTCATGTGTTTCGTATGGTGAGTGTAGAGAACCGGAGACGCTTTTAGTGGAAACGGGGCATTACATCTTAGTCCTCAGAGATCATAACGCATCTGAATTTTGATTCTTAATTGAGGATAAATGTGGATGCCTATGGGCAGCAGAATTAACTTTAAAAAAGTAGGAGTGTTCCAGTGTCACATCACATTCACACCAGCTACAGTCTACTCATCGCTGAAATATTTTTCCCACGGCTAGATTTAAGGAAAACTATATAGTGTATTATATGATTGACTCACCTGATGGCCATACTTTTGGCCTTGAGATGGTGCCATCGCTGGTTCATCTCATCGAGGCGGCGCTGCAGCATGACAGCGTCCTCCTGCGAGGACAGCGACCCCAGCAGCCGCCGCCCGGTACCCGTGAGCGATGCGTATACATCGCGGTGTGTTTCGATCTCTGACTGCAGGTCCTGGAACAAAGGAGTTTGTTTTGTTTTATTGAAATATCTGAAACCCCTATACTGTCAAATACTTTGGTTCCTAGTTCTATCGTCTTTAAAGATATAAGCAAAGAACTAAAATTAAAGATATTTCTAGAATAGCTTTGAAAGGGACAGCTTGGAACAAGCGTTCATATAGACTACAAATTATTGACCCGGTCTGTATGTTTGTCATTGTGCAGTTTATATATTAAAAGCGCCTCCTCGATACAGATAAATAGTGTTGAGAAAACTTTTCTTTTAATAAAATAACAATAAAAATAACTGTCGATCCTTATTTCGCTTATTAACATCTTGAACCTTCGTCAATCTCTAGCAAAGTAAGTACATTGAATACGAGTATATTGTGTTAGTGAGAGACGCGCAACGTCATTTTCTGTACGAAAAGCAAAAGGTTTCTGATAAAATTGTTTTAATCTAGATAAAATACATTCTACGATGATTGTAGTTAATTTGATTAAGATTTGTACTTGGTTCGCAACCGACGAAATTCCAATAAAGTAAAGCTATATTTTCTTGTTTGTCTACAAGTCCATTTGGGTAGGCATCATCCTCTCAACCTGTCACCTACACTTGCCAGTAGTGCGTGAACTGCTTTTTGACGCAGACACATTTTCAGTTAAATATCTTATTATTTTAATAGTGTTAACATACTTATTATGTTAAGGATAATTATATCACTATATTTCTTTATTTATGCCTATGTAATGATTATAATGATTTATTATTATTCGTTATGGAAATCGATTGTTTAAAAGGTGAAGTATCGATATAAATATCGATACCGCATTTGTCTATGACCAATCATTTTGAGAACTGTCAAAGTTGATTTTAGCATTAGTTCATAAGGCATTCGCTTGCTACATATATATTTATCTATAAGGCATTCGTGTTGTAACATCCGAGAGAATAACTTGTGAAGAATAAATCTGTGTCAATCTTTTAAATCCGCGTTTATTTTATTAATCAAGAAGTGAATTCTACAATAGTAACAAAATGTACAACTTTTTGTTGTTAAATATTTTATTTTATTAATAATAACAAAATGAACAAAATTTTGTTACTGAGTTTATTTATATCAAATTTTTTTTTGCTTAGTAAAAGGTTGCTGAAAGAAAAGTACCATTTCTGATTTATATTAAGACCTTTTGGGAAACTTAGCGAGCAAATAAATACTTGAATACCTAATGGTAAGGTTTCTTTAAAAATGCTATGGCAGCTTATATCTGTCTCACCCTTTTCCCTCAAAAGGAATAATTCTGTGTGACGTGGCACAACAAGTACAAGAAATCGCGACATTCAAAGCCCTATTCAGGCTCCGACAGAAGGCCGGTTGTAAGTCGCGTAAATATGCGAGCGATGCCTATTCAAGTGACGTTTCGGAGGTTTCCGTACTTTTAATACCAAGCGATGGGTATACAATATAAACAAAAAAAAAAAGAATAGAATAATTTTCAAGCAGTAAAGATTACAAGAATACTTATTGAAATGATTTAAGTTTTACCACTGCTTCGGATAAAACCCGAGGTAGCCCGAGGATTATTCTGGACCGATACGACACAGGGACCTTAAAGAAACGAGCTTACACCTTTTTAAAAAGCCGGTAATGCATCTACAATGCCCCTGGTGATGCAGTTGTTCGTGCGTGGCGGTATACAGTTTCCAGCAGGTGACCCGCATGCTCGTTTGCCACCTCTTCTATATAAAAGCCCGTAAAGGCAATTACTGGGCATCGGCCTCACTTGTAGTAAAGTATAATTCCGAACTCCTCTGCACGCAGCAGTGCTCTCGCAGCACTACTGGCTCCCATGTGTTATCTATAGGTTTATATGAGATTACATTCCGAGCTCCGCAGCAATGCCACGTCAGCAATGCAGCGGCAGCACTGCTGCGCGGGAGTATCGCCCTGCCGCCGCGACCAGTAGTGACGCGTCCGCCGCAACAATACGTGAATGTTGGCAAGTAAATTTGCAACAAAAAGATCAATTTCTCTGATCCAGAAGAGGAACAATTAATTAACTTGGTGACTTTATATCCACCCTTTACGATAGCAGTCGTACTAATTATAGTAATAATTTAATTAAAGACAATATATGGTAAGATATATCGAAGGAGATCAATAAAACAAGTTTACTATTGGCATAAAACAACAACATATTATCGTCACCTTCTTCCTTCTCTTTTCCCCAGCACTGCTGCGGCAGCACTGTATTGCACTGCACAGTACTGCTGCGTGCAGTCGACATCTGAATCATACCTTATAGAAGCTTATACAGTAAGGTGAGGGTGTTGGTTCATTACTATATATTGGCATCCTGTCTGTCCAGGATATTGAGTACGGACACATATACCATAGCAGCCGGCTGTTGCATTCTTAAAAAGGATACATTAGATCACCCGAGTGATATAATAAAGCATTTACAAATAGGGGCGAACACAATAGATTTTTATATAGAAAAATTTATTTTTAATTCCCGAGGGTACTTTATAACACCCATATGCACCATGGGGACATTACAGTCCTTATAAAATCCGTAAAAGTAGTTTTGTTCAATGTGTAGTATTCGCGTAAATAAAAAAAAATAAAAAACGTTACCCTAAAATTAGAATTTTCTATTGTATCGTGGAGGCAGTCTACATAAATAAATTTCATAAGGACATACATCCGGACTGGGAAAAATTATTTGTAGGCCATACAAATATTTGTTCCGAGCGGGATTCCAATCCATGGTCCCCAGCGACGCAACTCATTGCTTACCCACTACGCCACAGAGCAGTCATTTCTAGAAAGCTATCTTCTAAAAAGGTGGCATTTCTTGGAGTACGTCCGGATAGTACGTACCACCCTCTTACCTAAATCTGTCGCAAAGCAACAGTGCGCGCACTGCTTTATTCCAGGCTGTAAAGTATGGAGAGCCAATAAATTACAGGCCCTCAGGCATTCCTACTTCGTCTTCAGACCTTCAGAGGTGACGATGTATTTGTAGCCTTCTCTGTGTGAAGTTGGTAACAGGTGTCCATGGAATGCAGTAGCCACTCACCATCAGGTGCACTGTAAATTCGTATGTCGCTTCAATTTTATAAAATAAAAACGTGTAACCTACAAGCGGGCTACTGGCTTGTTGTGACATGTTATTTACGTAGTTGTTAACCAATGCGACGCGGTAAACGCCGACAGCTTCGACTGTTTTTTTTTTAATTAATCCGTTGACATTGTTTCAGATGTTTCGATACGTATCTAGCTATTATCGGGATTTTACCAGTCTTTAAAATAACAATTTTCATTTTAGATTGTTTTTTTTTTGTAAGATTGAAATGACAAACGAAACAAAACACCAGGAATTAAAAAAGATAAGCGCTGTAAAATCCGTATAAGTTACTTTAATTCAATTTGGAATATTTGAGTCATTTTTTTACAGAATAATGGTGATAAACGAGCACACAGTTCACCCGATGGTAAATGGATGCTGCGGCCCAAAGACATCTACGTCTACCCTTTATTAAGAATCAGAATGTTGAAGCGTTGTCACTTATGAGGACTCCCGCCTCGTTTTCAGTAAAAAAGGGTCTCCGGTTCTCTACAATCTCTCTACTCTCACTACTTTCTACGCTGGTATCCTGTGAGCGTGATCCTTTCCAGTTCGATCCGTCCATTCGTCCTACAACCATTAGAAAGCATGGTATATTAAATGTTACCTATACTTTAGCTTCGGCAATTCTATTGCTAGTAAATTTTCAGTATGCCAGTTTGATTGTGAGCACCCAGTTTCTAACATACACAATAGAACTATTCAATCAATTACTTTGTATTTAAATGCGGTGAAATTTCGTTACAGTCGTTGAAAAATGTCGGATTTATTTATTCAGAGTTTTTACACGAAACTATTCAGATATTCCGTTTATATGTTTCCGACACTTTTTTGTCATTTTCAGTTATAAATAAAAATGTCGGTGTATACTATGAAACTGCAGGTTCTTCGAAACATTTTACTTAGATATGTATCCTTATGATGTTTCCCTTCAACGCCGAGCACGTGGTAATTTAGCACATAAATTTGCAACTAAAATATCATTGGTGCCGATGAGAGCTTCGGTTAGGATGTACCTATGTAGCAATAAGTAACGACGAGAGAGTGACAAAGCATGTTTATGTTATAAAAGTACTAGGCAATGGACGTCCTACACGAAAGTGTATCGGCCAAGTTGGCGGTGTATCGAAGATAGGCGAAATTAACAGTATATGAAAGAAGCAAAAGAGGTGTGTCAGGATCGTGGCAAATGAAAGTCAGTAGTCACGACCTGCCTTTCCAGGTGACCGGCGTGAGAGTTTATATATCTTAGTATTTTTTTTTAACTTTCTCATCTGTAATGAATTTCCGCAAAGTAACACCTGATTCGATTAATTACTACCTACTGTGCGAACTCGTTTGTCACTGGAATAATATGAAGAGAAAAAATACATGTGTGTGGCAGTTCACATGCGGTAGAAATGAAATCTTCAGAAAACTCAATTTAGAGAGAATGAAACGAATGTACTCAACATTAGTAGTATAGTACAACAGCAGTATGATAATTGTATGGTTTATTTATATTTGTTAGCAAGTTTAAAAATTATCTTACTTTTTATTTTACATTTTTTTTAAATACTAGTAATGCTATTAAACATTATTAATATTCCCTTTAACCACTTCTGGTAAGCTTAAAATGCTTGTGTTAGAAGTGGTTCGCGACAGTAGTCGAATGGCGGATTCGAACCCACGACCTTTCGAGTTCGCGGTCCGCGCCCTGCCATTAGGCTACTGACACTTCAAACGCTTATATTACATTTCATAATAAGTACTTAAACATTTTCTAATCAAGAAATTTCTTCCCTAATCCTTACTGCTCATCACATATACTTATATAATACATGCATAATGTAATTTCCATACATAATAGGAAACACTGTACTGCGTTCTGTCTTATTCTCT